TTCCTTCCATTAAGTCTTAGTAAGTGGAGGGGACATGTTTGGGTTCTTTGAACTAAAGGAGCCAAGTACATCCAGTGACCCAAAGGAATGATGCTGCTATGTTTTAATAATAATAAAAAGAGTGTAACTGGTAGCACTGTCTCTGTTTCTCTACAGCACAACAATATGTTCATGTATACTAGGACATCAAGGGCATGTTACCATTAAGCATGGAAAATGAAGATGGAAACTGACTTTGCAGATTAAGAATTTATAGACCTAGGGTTACATACTAGGCTAGGTAAAAGCTATCTCCAAAGATTAAATACTGAAAGAGGAGAAACAGAAAAAATGCTAAGGTATCTTTATATTTTTATGTTAATTATTCTTCACAAATAAGACCTGTCTGCCTGCTATCATTCAGCTATTCCAGATATTGTTTTCTACACAACAAAGCAAAATTAATCAGTTTGAAGATTCATGGCTAAATATTATTCCTATTTTGTAAAAGACGAGTAGGAACATCTTGTGGTTTGCTATTATTGAGGAAACATGATGAATTTCTTCCAGAAGCTTTGTTATTAAGGTAAAGACAGTGAAATTAGCCATCATAACTGCCTATTAGAGTAATAAATACCATAAATTGCTGCTATAGCACTTAAAATATGCAGGAAGTGTGTTCTGACAGAAAAAAATCAGATGGAAAATAGGTGTGATTCAAAGTCAAATTCTACTCAAACATTGTAACAAAAACAACAACCCCCAAATTTTTTAGCAAGACATCTCCCAAGAAATTGCTTTGTGGAATACTGAGACTTTTGTCATTTTTATCGTGAATGTACCAGTTATTCAGGGCGGGGAGGGTAGGGGTAGGGGCGGGGATGAAAAGGTAGGATAAAGTTTTACTTTCCATCTGAAGATGATTATTGATATATACTCTCTAGTATTAGTACATAATATTTGGTAAGCCTATATATACATATTTGCAAAATCCTTACATTCTCTTCTTTGTGAAAATGCTAATTCTCTACTAAAATCTTACACATAGTTTTATTTATACATGCTATTGTTTTTTTGTAACAGCATCTCCCCTTGTCGTCTACATGCTATTCTGGTATTCCATGCTGTATTTTATTCTTTGTGTTATGAAGAACCACAAATATAAAAACCTATCAATCAAGAAGGTTGACTTTCACCACAGAAGTGGTGTCTTAGGCCCCTTACTTTGGGCACCTCCCACTGTGGGCTGTGTACAGCAAGCTTCTGAGTTGAATTATCTTGTCACCTAGCTTGGTGACTGCCAATTACTGCTGCTGCCTTTGAATTACTGCAGCCACGGACCACCACTGCTCAGAGGATTTTTTTTTTTTTTTGCAGTACGCAGGGCTCTCACTGTTGTGGCCTCTCCCGTTGCAGAGCACCGGCTCAGCAGCCATGGCTCACGGGCCCAGCCGCCCCACGGCATGTGGGATCTTCCTGGACTGGGGAACGAACCCGTGTCCCCTGCATCGGCAGGCGGACTCTCAACCACTGCGCCACCAGGGAAGCCCTGCTCAGAGGATTTTGATATTTGAGGCACTCTACTATCTGACACACGTGTTTTAGCTGTTACCATAAATGTTGATGAACACTGAGGCATTTCTCTTTTCCTATCTGCCCACTCCCCCATGCTGTGAGAAACATGAATATCATCGTAGTTCTAAGAAAATATTTTCTTCCATACCTTTCACAGCATCAGATAGCTCCTAAGTTTTTAATCAACTTTATACACTGCTGATGACTAGGGTGTTCAGAATACAATTCGTTGGAAGAAAATAAAAACTGGATATGACATAAGGAAACCTAGGTTTGTCTTCTGACTCTTCATTTATAAACTGTGGACTTTAGATAAGACTTTCTCTCATGACCCTCAGTTTTATAATACATAAAATGAAGATAATAATCCCTATTTACATTATAGGGTTCTCTTACAACTCAAATAAGATAATGAAGGAGAAATATGTACGAGTTATGAAATGCTCTACAGATACTTGTTAATATCAAAATAATTATATATTCATAAAAGTCCTAAATACTAAATTCTAGCTAAATACTAAATCCCTATATAGTAAATGGGATTTCAATGCCACATACCAAGGACACAATTTGTAAGAATTTGTTTATGAATTTTTTCATATCACACAAATAAAAGAATGATTCCTCTAACATATTTATAAATAATTTCTTCATCCAGTATCAAAGAATACTAAAAGAAATTCACCTCAATTTCATTTTAATTTTTCATCTATACTGTATGGTTTCCCAGCTGTGTTCTTTGTTTTCATGGCTCCTTAATTAATGAGGCTAGTGCCATGTCTTTGTGATATTTTCCTCTGCTGTCCCTTTGTATGTATGACACATTGAGCTATGTTTGTGAGAATCTTTGCCAAATCTACTAAAAACTCCATTGTACACTGCCAGAAAAGGAAAAAAAAGAGCCCACAGAAGCACCTTTTTTTCACTAAGCATCCTTTTTTTCAGCAATTAACAAGTATAATCAGACAAACTAAGTAAAGCTTAGAGTGTAAAGGATAGATTCTTTGAGATTCAGGATTTTAAGGATGTTTTTAAAGTGCTTAACACAGTCAAAATGCTGCTATTACACACTTCCATGTGTTTGTAAAAGCAGTATTTCTTTTGAAGCACTTCCCTTATCTCATCTCCAGGTTGGAAACATGCCCATCTTTGCAGATTACAGTACCATACCCTGTCCTTTAGCAAGAACTCTAGTAATTACCTGACCATTTAAACAAATACTTGGTGGGGCGCCTTTTAAAGCAAGCACCGAATGATCTCCCTGCTAATAACCTGATGACCATTCTGAAAAGGAAGAATGAAAACAAGAAGTAATATGTTGCCCTGTCTCAGTGCAGCTTTCTTCACCATATGGCCATGATGAAATCCAATCATCACAACATTCTCCAAATTCACTTGAAGCTTGGAGAAAGTGAGGATCAAACCATGAGGAGTCACTCTGGAAGGTTCTGTTGACAGCTGACTTGGAGTTAGGACGTGGTATGGATTAGTCCCAGAACTTTGACCAGTTTTTTTTATTTAGTCATTTTTAAAAAATTTCTAAACTATCAGAGATTGGTATCTTTTGTGAAGGTTGGGAAAGAACCAGAGTACCCAGGAAAGCACTGGAGAAAACACACAAAAGCTGGCTCATCAAGGTTCAGGAAGATATTTTCTATCTATAATCCTTGGGGCTGCCTACCAGGGCCCATACTGACATGGGGCGAGAAAGATGCCTAGAGCATAAACATAAGGAAGCACTCTCTGTCACTTGCACAACCCTGGTCCCAGCCCTGCTGCCTACAGAGGCATCTGATCAAATAACTTCATTTTAACTACTGAAAGACATAACCAATGAAGATATACAGTAAGGACAGCAACGAGTACATCACTGCACTCTTCCATTATACTTCAGAGTTCTCAACACGCTTTCATATATATTATCACATTATGACAACCACAATCTCCTGAGGCTAATAGTGCAGAATGTTTTTAATCCCACCTCAGAGATGAACAAACAAGTTTAGGGGAACAGTAGGATTTGATCAAGACAGTAGAGGTAGAACTTGAATTCAGGTCTTTGACCTATGTCCAGTACTCTTCTCATTATACTTCCCCAATACCAAGTCTTCCTCTGAGGTCCTTTATAGCATCAGATTTTTATGGTCTACACTGATTAGAATTATTTATGAAGTCACTGCAGTGGCTGGTTATTAACAACTTAAGAAAGAAATGACCTTAAATTTGTCTATTGTTCACTGCCCATATAACAGCCTTATGAGAAAGGAAAAATAAAAAGAATTCATCTAATGCTTCTTAATGCCAGGCTTAAACATTTTAGGGGCAACCAAAGCCATTTATAAGTCAACCCCACAGATGAATTTTTTTACTATTATCATTGGTTGCATAGTACAATCATATTTTTGTTTTGGTTATTATCAGCAAGGCTCAGAAACCATTAGCAGCATATGGGTTACTTTGCTAAGAGTTGTAAAGAAGCTGGGATTAGGGCAGGTTTATATAATATCAAGTTTGAGCCTTCTCTCCCTGTACTGGAAGATGTCCAGAAAAGAGCAGGGGAAACAAAAGACCCTTTCCAGTGAGCAACATGTGATCTGTTGGTCTTTTTCTGCACAGCCCTGCTTCAAACGAAACCTTTCTAACACTAACCAGAAATATGATTTAGGTGTCCACAAAAAAAGAAAAATACAAGCTTTGAGTTGCAAATCTAATTTCCTGGATATAGTGGATTAATGTGGAGAGAATCTAAGTTATTTAAAAGTAAAGAGAAACTTACTTCTCCCCATGTTTTCTTGTGGTCTCTGGTAGGTCCTTTGATGATGATTCCCTGTAAAAAAACACAGCACACACACACACAGTCAGATTCAAGTTCCATTAAAACTTATGTTGTCAACATGAGCATTTCATTCCAGTGCATTCCAATCTTGCCCCCTTACCTAAATAAAACAGATATCTAACCTCAGAGGACAGAAACACAGTATTCTGGAAGCACGGGCTCTACATCAGCTTACTATGACCTTGTCTATCTAGCATTAGTTTCTGCCCTTGCCAAATAAAAGTCATCAAATTGGTCACATGGTTTATCTCTTAGGAAGGCAGTGATATCAATAAAAAATGGTGGACAAAAATGCCAAAAGGCCCAATTTTAATAACAAGGCTAGCATGTTATTAGTTTGCCTATCCCTGGTTTCTCTTCAATGTCACTCTCTGACAAATCCAATACCATTTATAGTGTAACATTTTCCTGAATGGTGTCAAACAGCAGTACCTCTAATCAAATTATCCCTGCAGCAAAGCAGCCCACAGAGTTACTACCAATAAACAGTATGAACCAATAACTATGAGCTACTGACAACAGAAACTCTAGAGGAAAAAAATACATATTGCAAATGCAGGTGTGCATGGAGGAGCAGCAATTTATACTATAATGCTTTATTTTCTCACAGGGTTTAATCACAGAACTACCACACATCTATTGTTCACCTGCCACATTCCCAGTATGGAGCTAAAGCACCAAGAGAGGCAAAATTATAAGACATAATTTATCAATACGTTAAGGAATATATAATCTACTTGAAGTCAATCATGAAGAGGAGAGTGATGTCATCAAGATGGTCACATAGATCATTCCCAACTTCAGTCTCCCTCACAAGAAGACCACCTAGCAACTATGCATAGAAAAGACTCCACTGTGAAGATGTTAGAACCTGAGGGTAAGGCTGAAGCACCCTGCTGGACAACAGAGACTGAGAAGGAGCACATTAGAAGGGTGAGAGGACTGGATATACCCTGACCACATCACCCTCCTCCCTGTGGGGAGAAGTGGGAATATGGATTCCATAATGGGAAAAGAGAGCCCGAGGTGGACAACCAGCATATGGGACACTTCCAGGAGGCCCACTCGGGTCTTGCCTCATGGAGATCATCAGAGGAATCTGCTGGGCTTGACTACTGGGGATCAGAGAGAGGTGGAGAAGGGGGGCAGAGCTTACAGCAAAAAGTGCTCAGGCTCTGGAAAACGGCATTCCATATCAGTGCCTGAGCAAAGATCCCAGCCAGCAACTCTGGCCATCTGCAGAGCTGAGCCAGTGGCCCCTTCTGGCTAGGGAGCTCAGTTGGTAGTTCTACCTGATTTGGACCCACAATCAATGGGCCAGACTGGAAATGGAGCCTGTTCTACCATCCAGCCCATGAAGGCAAGCAAATACTCAGCCTCGCCCAAGTGCTGAGCATAGCCTCCAGTCTCTCCTTCCAGGAAGCCTGGCCAGGGAACTAGAGCAGCCACAAGCCCATCGTATAGCCCCACTTGGTCAGGCAGCCAAACCAGCAGCCCTGCCCAACTGGTGAGAATAGCCACTGGCCCTGCAAAACCAGAGAGCTGGAACAGTGACCCTGGGTGACAAGGGAACCCAGCCTATGGGACTGCTAGAGAGGGAGAGCCCACCCTACAATCCCACTCAGCCATGGATCCCAGCCTTACAACCCTGATAAGCAGAGGAGCCCAGTCTACGGCCCTGCCCAATTGCTGAACACAGTCTGCGGCCTTGCCCAGGCAGGAAGCCCAGCCAGTAATCCTGCCCAACCAAGAAGCATAGCCTGTGGTCCCACCCAACAAGGAAGCTCAGCCCAGCAGCAGAGCACAGTCTACTGGTCAGGAACACCAGAATGCAGCCCTGCTCAACTTCAGGGCACAGTCTGCGGCCCCACCTAATCGCAGAGCACAGCCTGAGGCCACGTCGAACCAATACGTCCTGCCTGGGGCCCTACTTAAACATAAAATCCAGCCAGCGGTACCACTTGGTTGTGGAGCACAGTCTGAGACTCCACACAACAAGGGGTGATTGCTAAACCCAACCCACAGCCCTGCTCAATCAGGGAATCCAACCAGTGGCACCACGCTAGCAGTGAACACAGCCTGGGACTTTACCCAACTGGAGGTGATTGCAGAAGCCAGCTAGTGGCCCCATCTGACTGCTGAGCAAAACCAGTAGCCCCACCCAAACAGGGAGATGGTCACCCAGTGGTCCTGCTTGAACATGGAGCCCAGCCAAAAGGCCTACCCAACTGTGGAGCCCAGCCAGTGGCATCCCCCCAACTTCAGAGCACAAGCAATGGCCTCATCTAACTAGAGACCCCAACAGCAAGCCCTGCTGACTGTGAAGGCTACCAGCTGACCTCTCCAGTAGTCTCAAGCAGTCATGACTGGTGAAGGTCTTTCCCTACAGAAGTGAACATGTAAAGTCTGGAGGAAACTGTTTAAACAATGCAAGGAATCAAGGATCACGAAGAAAAGAGGTAAACATAACATGACACCACCCAAAGAAACTAATAAAGCTCCAATAACTGACCCTAATGTAACGGAGGTCTATAAGCTGTCTGAGAAAGAATTCAGAATAATACTCTTAAAGAACTTCAGTGAACTACAAGAGCACATAGACATCTAAAGAAAATTAGGAAAACAGTACACAAACAAAACAAAAAGTTCAAGAAAGAAATGGAAACTATCAAAAAAAAAAGAAATCTTAGAGCTGAAGAATACAATGGCTGAAGAATTCAATAGAACAAAATGGCAATACCTATCAAAAATTACTTTAAACATAAATGGATTAAATTCTCCAATCAAAAGACAGAATGGCTGAATGGATAAAAAACAAGATCCCAATGGCATGCTGTCTACAAGAGATTCAACTTTAGTTTAAAGGACACATATAGGATGAAGTGATAGATATTTCAAGCAAGTGGTAACTGAAAGAAAGCAGGGATAGCTATACAAATATCAGACAAGGTAGACTTTAAGCTAAATATAGTCATGAGAGACAAAGAAGGTCATTATATAATGAAAATGGGGTGAATTAATCAAGAAGATATAACAATTGTAAATGTTTTAGCACCCCACACTGGAGCACCTAAATATATAAAGCAAATACTAACACAAATAAAATGAGAAATAGCAATATAATAACACCAGTTTACTTTAATATCCCATTCTCAGCAACGGACAGATCATCCAGACAGAGAATCAATCAGGAAACAGTGGATTTAAATAACACTATAGACTAAATGGATCAAACAGACATATATAGAACATTCCATCCAACAGCAACAGAATACACATTCTTCTCAAGTACAGAGAAAATTTTTCTAGGATTGATGACATGGTAGGCCACAAAATAAGTCTCAACAAATTCAAGAAGACAGAAATTTTATCAAGCATCTTTTACAAACACTATGTTATGAAGGCAGAAATCAATAACTGTTAGAAAGCCAGAAATTTTTCAAATACATGGAAATTAAACAACACACTCCTGACCAACCAATGGACCAAAGAAGAAATCAAAGGGTAAATAAAACAAATTTTGAGACATACAAAAATGGAGAAGAGCTCCAAGATGGCGAAAGAGTAAGAAGTAGAGATCACCTTCCTCCTCACAGATACATAAGAAATACATCTACATGTGGAACAACTCCTACAGAACACCTACTGAACGCTGGCAGAAGACCTCAGACCTCCCAAAAGGCAAGAAACTCCCCACGTACCTGGGTAGGGCAAAAGAAAAAAAAATAAACAGAGACAGAACAATAGGGATGCGACCTGCACCAGTGGGAGGGAGCTGTGAGGGAGGAAAGGTTTCCACACACTACGAAGCCCCTTCGTGGGCAGAGACGGGGGTGGTGGGGAGGGTGGGGAGGAGCTTCGGAGCCACGGAGGAGAGCGCAGCAACAGGGGTGCGGAGGGCAAAGAGGAGAGGTTCCCGCACAGAGGATCGGTGCCGACCAGCACTCACCAGCCTGAGAGGCTTGTCTGCTCACCCGCCGGGGTGGGCGGGGGCTGGGAGCTGAGGCTCCAGCTTTGTAGGTCGGGGCCCAGGGAGAGGACTGGGGTTGGCTGCATGAACACAGCCTGAAGGAGGCTAGTGCACCACAGCTAGCTGGGAGGGAGTCTGGGAAAATGTCTGGAGCTGCAAAGAAGCAAGAGTTTTACTTGCCTATATGTTTCACGCTGCGTAAGGAGAAGGGATTCAGAGCACCGCTTAACAGAGCTCCAGAGACGGGCGCGAGCCGCAGCTATCAGCGCAGACTCCAGAGACGGGCATGAAACGCTAAGGCTGCTGCTGCAGCCACGAAGAACCCTATGTGCAAGCACAGCTCACTCTCCACATCTCCCCTCCAGGGAGCCTGTTCAGCCCCCCACTGCCAGGGTCCCGGGATCCAGGGACAACTTCCCCGGGAGAATGCACGGCGCGTCTCAGGCTTATGCGACGTCAGTGGTGGCCTCTGCAGCCGCAGGCTCGCCCCGCACTCCGTACCCCTCCCTCCCCCCGGCCTGAGTGAGCCAGAGCCCCCGAATCACCTGCTCCTTTAACCCCTTCGTGTCTGAGTGAAGAACAGACGCCCTCAGGCGACCTACACGCAGAGGCGGGGCCAAATCCACAGCTGACCCCCAGGAGCTGTGCGAACAAAGAAGAGAAAGGGAAATCTCTCCCAGCAGCCTCAGGAGCAGCATATTAAATCTCCACAATCAACTTGATGTACCCTGCATCTGTGGAATGCCTGAATAGACAACGAATCATCCCAAATAGAGACGGTGGACTTTGGGAGCAACTATATATATATATATATATATTTCCTTTTTCTCCTTCTGTGAGTGTGTATGTGTATGCTTTTGTGTGTGATTTTCTCTGTATAGCTTTGCTCTTACTATATGTCCTAGGGTTCTGTCTGTCCCTTTTTTAAAAAAAATTTTTTTTAGTATAGTTCTTAGCACTTGTTATTATTGGTGGATGTGTTTTTTGGTTTGGTTGCTCTCTTCTTTCTTTCTTTCTTTTTTTCTCCCTTTTATTCTGAGCTGTGTGGAAGACAGGCTCTCGGTGCTCTGGCTGGGTGTCAGGCCTATGCCTCTGAGGTGGCAGAGCCGAGTTCAGTACATTGGTCCACCAGAGACCTCCCAGCTCCACGTAATATCAAACGGCGATAATCTCCCAGAGATCTCCATCTCAACACCAACACCCACCTTCACTCATGACCAGCAAGCTCCAGTGCTGGACACCCTATGCCAAACAACTGGCAAGACAGGAACACAACCCCACCCATTACCAGAAAGGATACCTAAAATCATATTAAGGTCACAGACACCCCAAAACACCTGTCCACCAGAAAGACAAGATCCAGCCCCATCCACCAGAACACAGGCACTAGTCCCCTCCACCAGGAAGCCTACACAACCTACTAAACCAACCTTACCCACTGGGAGCAGACACCAAAAACAACGGGAACTACGAACCTTCAGCCTGCAAAAAGGAGACCCCAAACACAGTAAGTTAAGCAAAATGAGAAGACAGAAAAACACACAGCAGATGAAGGAGCAAGGTAAAAACCCACCAGACCTAACAAATGAAGAGGAAATAGGCAGTCTACCTGAAAAAGAATTCAGAGTAATGATAGTAAATATGATCCAATATCTTGGAAATAGAATGGAGAAAACACAAGAAACGTTTAAGAAGGACCCAGAAGAACTAAAGAGCAAACAAACAATGATGAACAACACAATAAATGAAATTAAACTTTCTCTAGAAGGAATCAATAGCAGGATAACAGAGGCAGAAGAATGGATAAGTGACCTGGAAGATAAAATAGTGAAAATAATTACTGCACAGCAGAATAAAGAAAAAGAATGAAAAGAATTGAGGACAGTCTCAGAGACCTCTGGGACAACATTAAACGCACCAACATTCGAATTATAGGAGTCCCAGGAGAAAAAGAGAAAAAGAGAGGGACTGAGAAAATATGTGAAGAGATTATAGTTGAAAACTTCCCTAATATGGGAAAGGAAATAGTTAATCAAGTCCAGGAAGCACAGAGAGTCCCAAACAGGATAAACCCAAGGAGAAACATGACAAGACACAAATTAATCAAACTACCGAAAATTAAATACAAAGAAAAAATATTAAAAGCAGCAAGGGAAAAACAACAAATGACATACAAGGGAAGCCGCATAAGATTAACAGCTTATCTTTCACCAGAAACTCTGCAAGCCAGAAGGGAGTGGCAGGGCATATGTAAAGCGATCAAAGGGAAAAAACTACAACCAAGATTACTCTACCCAGCAAGGATCTCATTCAGATTTGATGCAGAAATTAAAACCTTTACAGACAAGCAAAACCTGAGAGAGTTCAGCACCACCAAACCAGCTTTACAACAAATGCTAAAGGAATTTCTCTAGGCAGGATACACAAGAGAAGGAAAAGACCTACAATAACGAACCCAAAACAACTAAGAAAATGGGAATAGGAACATACATATCCATAATTACCTTAAATGTAAACGGACTAAATGCTCCCACCAAAAGACACAGATTGGCTGAATGGATAGAAAAACAATACCCATATATATGCTGTCTACAAGATACCCACTTCAGACCAAGAGACACATACAGACTGAAAGTAAGGGGATGGAAAAAGATATTCCATGCAAACGGAAATCAAAAGAAAGCTGGAGTAGCAATTCTCATATCAGAAAAAATAGACTTTAAAATAAAGACTATTACAAGAGACAAAGAAGGACACTACATAATGATCAAGGGATCGATCCAAGAAGATGATATAACAATTGTAAATATTTATGCACCCAACATAGGAGCACCTCAAT